AACCATAGTTAAAACTGACCTTGTCACCTCATCTCCATATCCACAAGTTTTGCATTTCCATGGCTGTCTGATTAAACAGTCTGATTATAATTATTTTTGCTGGGCAACTGTTCACTCCATGCACCTGAGGAAGTAGACTAAGGCTATCAATGCTTATGCTACAACTTCTTTTGCTCAGTTAGTTTCTAAGGTGCTACAAGATCCTTTTGCATACTGATATTCTAGACTAACACCACTATGTCTTCAATAATAAAAGTGTTCATTATTTTAGTTCTATCTAGTTTCCATGGGTGGCCAACCAAATGCTTCTGATAAATCTACAAATCCTCTTTTGTTTCTCCCCATCTTCTGTTTCTGATAGTAAGAAGGGGAAGAGGCACATGACTTTGGTATATTGATCCTATTCTTCTTTCACCAGCGGTGGGACTTCACTAGAAATATTCCTGTCACATGTTAGGATAAGTGGAGGAAGGCACGTGTTTCCTTGTATGAAAGAGAAATCAGGAAATGTTGATTACGGATATCATATTTCACTGATGTTTCAGTACCTATCATTTTTATTAGAAGAGTTTATTTTAAATGGCACACATGCCGTTTCTATAATTGGAACACATGCAGCTTCTAGTGAAGATGTAATTACTTTTTAGACTCACAAGATTTTTTTTTAAAAAAAATAAGAGTTTTAACACTAGACACATAATCATCTGCTCAAAACAATTATTCCAGATTCTAGTTGATCTGACTAACATCTTCTGGCTTTTCAGCTTATAATTAGCGTGTACAACTTAACTGCCTTGCTTTTGTATATACGAAACAGGGCTGTTATCTGCTCTGAAAGTTTCAGCTTTTGTTAGACCTTCATTATAAACAGTAGGAAAAGTTAAGATGGATTAATCTAATCTGTCTTGTAGCACATTTAAAGAGAATAAATGTGAAGGAGGGAGATGGGACAGAATAAAGCTTAAGACTCCTAAGGAGAAGATAGTTTTGAAACTGTCACACACCTCCATGCCCATGGACCATGCAATGGGGATGCTCACTCACTTGGACCCAGTATAGTCCATGAAACACCATTGCTCCATACCTGTTAAAATGTATATGAAACATAAATGAATTTCATGTTTAGATTTGGGTGCCATCTTCAACATATCTCATTATGTATTTATATGCAAATGTTTCAAAATCCAAATAATAATAATAATAATAATAATAATAATAATAATCTGAAATCCAGAATACCAAAACATCCTAAGCATTTTGGATAAGGGAGACTCAATCAGCATATGTAAATGAAATATAAACTGTCCAGGTATAGTGATAGCAAATCCTAGGTTTACTTTGGTTGACAGGGATAGGGGAGGTATATATCCTGTGACATTTTAAATATATATATATCCTATTGATTTCAGGAAGCAGCAAAAAAAAATTTTAAAAAAAGTTTGACAAAAGGGAAAAAGAAATGTATACAAAGCATTGCAGCTAACAGAAGACAATTCCTTTCATTTACACCTTCTCGTGTTTTGGGGAGTCAGATTTCCCTTCATTCTATTCTGTTATTGTTTCATGAGTTTATTTATCATCCAAATTTCAGGTTAACTATTGGGAATTCCTCAAATTAATTGCAGAACTTTGCTGTATTACAATGATTTATTTGCATCCTTTCCTCTACTTTCGGTGCTACATAAATGGGTGTGTTGAGTTAAAGAAAAACAATGTTGATTGGACCATAGAAGTGACTGTATCAAGTTTATTTTTGTGCAGTTTTCCTGCACAAAGCCACTTACCAAAATCAAATTTAAAAATCTTGAAATAGCAATAACATTACATCCAGATTGCTGTTTGGCATTTGTTTGTTTGCGGAATAGGTATGTGGTGCTTAATCAAACACAACTCTACATATGGATGCTGACAAGATTCTTGGAGAAGTGAGATCCACCACCTATGTGTCAGAACCTTGACTTTCCTGAATTATTTTAAAAATCCAGAGGGGGACTGGCTAAGTGGGCAGAGGCAGATAAAACAAGGCAGAGTTCCAGCATGTCTGAAAGAAGCAATTACAAAATCTTTACTGGGGAAAAACAAACCCAGATTGCACCATATTGAATAACTGTCAGATGGTTTCCAGTATCCCATTTGGGGGCAAGGTATTGAAGCTCCAGGAGTTTCTGGATTGGAAGGATGATCTAGATTTCAATCTGTTTCAGGCTTGGTTATAGGACAGAGACAGCTTTGATCACCTTGGTGGGCAACTTATGCCAGGAACTGGATGGGTATGTGTGTCCCTATTGTTTCTGTTAGACCTCTGAGTGGCTTTTGAGGCCATTGACCATTGTATCCTTCTGGGCCACCTTGCAAGCATGGGAAATGGAAGCACTGCTTTACAGTGGCTCTTTTCCTTCTTGGTAGATGAATTCAGAAGGTGATGCTGAGGGACTCCCATTTGATACCTTAGCCATTGGCCTCTGGGGCCCCTCAGGATTCAGTTCTGTCACCCATGCTATTCAACATATACATGAAACTGCTGGGAGAGGTGATCTGGAGTTTTGGGGTCCAATGGCATCAGTATGCACATGGCATCCAGCTTTTATTACTCCTTTCCATTTCAATCCACAGATGTGGTTTCAGCCCTAAACTGCTGCCTGTGATCAGTAATGGAATGGGTGAGGGCAAACAAATGGAAACTTACAAACAAACAAGACAGAGGTCAATTTCAACTGTTCTTGGTCAGTTGAAAAACAGATCACAGAATATAGATTGAGCCTGTTCTGGATGGGGTTACACTTCCCCTGAAGATGAAAGTAAGCAGATTGGGTTTGATTCTGAATACAAGCCTGAGCCTGGAAGCTCCAGTCTTGGCACTGGGCAGGCTTGTGAGTCCATTCCTAGTGATGTTGGATCTGGCCACAATGACACATGCCTTGGTTACATCCCATTCAATTTGCTGTAACATGCTTTACACATGGCTGCCTTTGAAGAGTGTTCAGAACCTTCAACAGGTTCAAGGAGCAACATTCAGATTGTTTACTGGCACTGGCTATAGGAAGCAAAGAAATGTCTGTGTTACAATCACTCCACAAGCTGCCCATCTGTTTCTAGACACGATTCATAGTGCTGGCGATGATCTATAAAGCCCCATATTGCTCAGGTCCAGGTTATCCGAAGGATCGTATTCTCCTTTATGAGCCTACCTATGTTTTAAGATCTTTTGGGGAGGCCCTTTTCTCTGCCTGCCCTATCACATTCACAGGTACATCTGGTAAGAATATGAGAGAAGGCCTTCTCAATCGCTGCTCCCAGGTTGTGGAATTCCCTCCCACAGGTGTTTAGTCTGGTACCATCCTTACTATCTTTCTGCAAGCAGGTAAAAGCCTTTTTTTTATTCTGGCAGAGAACTGAGAACTGATTGTTTTAAAGGAGATAACAGGCCTTGTGTAATGTGCTAGACTTTTATCTGATGTTGTTGTTTTCAAAAGGTTTTGATTTTAACTGATTTTAACTTTATGATACTCATAACGACTTCATAACGTTTGTAACCTGTGGATTTTTAATTATGTTTGTTTCAGTTGTTGTATGCTGCCTTCAGCTCCTTACTAAGGGAGTGGTGGGACATAAATAAATATATTATGATGTGATGATGATGATGATGGTGATGTGGATGAGTAAAACACTGCACATAAAATTGATGCAGTAATACACAATGATTCCATCAAGATGTGGGGTCCTGTGTGCAGTGTTTGTATTAATGCACATTGGGAAGATGATACCATAGATGTGGGAGAAGTTACTAACAAGCTGAAGGAAATGAAAGCTACAGCAATTTCTGAATGTACAATGCTCTATATAAAAATTGGAAATAGAAAAACAAGCAGAACATGCACAAGCTCCTTACACATTCATTCCAGTGGAGAATGAAGACCAAGTAATCAGAATGCTGAAAATCTGGGACGATTTTATTTTATGTACTAACCAGAGTTTTCAAGACTCGAATATGTTTAAAATACAAAACGATGGTGAAGGAAGGGCTGCGACTCTGTGGGTTTGCATATGGAAGGTTTGATCTCTGGCATCTCTGTGCAGTTCTGCAAACAAAAAAAAACCCAAAAACACACACCTTTGAGTGCTGCTGGAAGGTACTGTAAACAATAACTGATATAGTTGGACCACACTGCAGAAATATTGCTACTATTTCCCAGATAGCGTCTGTACTATCTGGGGAATTCGGGGAGTCCTAGTCCAAAAAAGTAACATTTCCAAGCTCTGAATGTAAGCAATGACACTTGAGCAGTGCCCACTCGGCTGTGCCCTCAGAAAGCCTACAGGCAGGGCATGGAGGTGTTTGCGGAGCCTGCTTCATTCCCGGCACCTGCTCTCCAGAATTTATAATACTTCTTCTGCTCCAGGCAGTTGCCCTGTTTCTTAATCAGAGGTCACTGTGATTTTCATACATCAGCACTATGAAAGGAATGGGGTAAGGGCGGGGAACAGATTGTTCTTTGTCAGAGATCTAAAATAAAATCCACAATACCAGAGGCAAACTCTTGTCTTTCTGGCAGGCTGGGAAAGTAAATATACCCAAAGAGCAAGCAAATGGTCAGTGTGGGTGAACTGCGAAGGAGACTGCCTCCTCCTCCTCCTCCTAAAACAAAACAGCTTATGTCAAAGCTGGAATAAGATAAAATAAAGAGGGAAGAACTGTGTATTTTTGGTAGGCTTGGGCTCCAGAGATATAGAAATTTCCAGCATGAACATATAAGAAGGACTGATGATGCTCTGAAGTGCTTTCCCAGCCTGTAGTCTCTGAGCATTTGTTGTTGTTGTTGTTGTTGTTGTTGTTGTTGTTGTATACGTTCAAGTCATTTCTGACTTATGGCGACCCTAAGGCAAACCTATCATAAGTTGTTCTGGAGGCTTTTGGCAAGATTTGTTCAGAGGAAGTTTGCCGTTGCCATCCTTTGAGGCTGAGAGCATGTGACTTGCCCAAGGTCACCCAATAGGCTTCATGGCCAAGCTGGGAATCGAACCCTGGTCTCCAGCATTGTAGTCCAACACTCAAACCACTACGTCACGCGAGCATACCTTAACCAAAACAAACGGGGAAGCTTTCGGGAAGTCTGCTTTCGGATCTAATAACGTTGCGCACTTAATATGCATTTCAGTAACTACAGCGCATCTTTGACATTTTTTAATCCCATTGCACTGGTTTGAAAGGATGTTCTAGAATGTGGAGTAGTTCCTTAATTAGGGGAAACGTTCCACTTCCTTGGAGCAATGTGATGTGCGGAGGGGTGGATGTTGCTTATAGCAGCGTTCTCCCAGCCGTTCATTACTATTTTGTTGTCTTTAATACCTCTTGATTGCATCTTGTTAGCATCTTGTCCTGATTTGCTTTGTAGCTTGTTACATAAAACAGGCAATTAGCTTCTTATTAAAGTCAATTGAGATTCCTACCAGGGAAAAGGGAGCTCTTGTTTGTGATTACAGATCATTGGCTCCAGAAGGGCAAAGGGGAAAAGGTGCTGTGCCAATACAAGATGGATGCTTCTGTTGGAACATTTCTTGTGCTCTCCCCATTGAGACACCATTGCACTTTGCTCCACTGCATGGGCCTTCCTTCTCTTTCTTTTTTTAAAATGGAAGTTGATGTCTGTTGGATGGTTCCCAAGACATGCATCTATGGTTAAGAAAATGTTGATGGGGGGCAAGCAGGACAGAGACCGCCTTTTATTCCCAACCACAAAAGTTAAGGTGTCACAGGGTGCACCTACACTGTATAAATAATGCAATTTGGCACCACTTCAATGGCCATGGTGCTATCCTACAGAATCCTGAGATTTGTAGTTTTGTGAGGCACCGGCACTCTTTGACAGGGAAGGATAAAGACATTATAAAATTGCACATTCAAGTATTCCATAGGATGGAACTATAGGACTTAAAGTGGAGTCAAAATTCATTATTTCTGCAGTGTAGATTCTGGAAACCAGGGTTTGATTCTTGCTGAATGTGGATTTGATCCCTAATCTCACAGGGCCCTAGCCCAACACTCAAATCACTACACTATGCTGGCTCCCACATTTTTAAATGTGAACAGCTAAGACATGCACGATCGGATGGAGGGGGAACCCTACATTCACATGATTTAACTAATGGATGAGAGCCAGCATAGGATAGTGGGTTGAGCATTGGGCTATGGCCCTGGAGATCATAGAATTATAGTTGGAAGAGACTTCAAGGGCCATCCAGTCCAATGTCCTTCTGCTAGCCAGACATACAGAATCAAAACACCCCCAGCAGGTGCCATTCAGCCTCTAATTAAAAACCTCCAAAGAAGGAGACTTTGCCACTCACCAAGGCAACATGTTCAGTTCCCACTCAGCTATGCAAACCTACTGGGTGACCTTGGGCAAGTCACACACTCTCAGCCCCAGAAAACCCAGTGATAGGTTCGCCTTAGGGTTGCCGTAAGTCAGAAATGACTTGAAGGCATACAACAACAAGTGATGGTTAAATGTATAAATTACGTACAACAAATAAATGCACACATTAGGGGAAATGTGTTAAAATGTCCATGAATTTCCATACAGGGACAAACACACCAATGGCAATAAATAAATAAATAAATAAATAAATAAATAAATAAATAAGGCAGGTAAGATCCAAAGAAATACAATACAATTGAGTCTGAGAGCTTCCCGCATTCAGCTGCAGTCTGGTTGACTTCTTGACATGACATTATTAGGAAAGGGAAGGACCAACATCTAGTCTTTCACCTTGAGCAGTGAAATGTCCGGGGCTGGCTTTGTTTTGAAGTGAACACCTGTAAAAGTGAAGCAGACTGGAAGCGGATGGATCCATCCCTCCCTTGCTGCCAGGCAAAGTAGGCAGAATTAAGCTAGCCAGTCCAGTGATCTGAATGAATAAGTCAGTTTCTTATCCTCTTCTTCTTCTTTTTTTTTTTGCTCACCATGGTAAAACTATTCCTTTTAAAAATGATCATCTGCATTTACCCAGAGTAATGCCTACGCTCGCAACCTTTGAGAATGAAATCACATTCTTTGAGCCCCATTTAGCAATTTTGCCAGTTTACAATAGCTGTTGCACGGGGGCTAATGATATTGCCATTATTGTAGCTAGAACATACTGGGGGTAAATGGAAAGCCATTTGGCCAACTAGAATAGTAATGCCAGTCATTACAGGCACATCTGTGTTGGCATTGGGCATTTAGAGAAAGAAACCTTCCGCTTTAATCATGGGGACCAAATTACATTCTCAAGAGGCTGTTCAGGGTGAAATATGGAGCATTACATCCCATTTTATCTAGTTATC